TCAGTATTTGACTATGAACATAGATACGGTACAAACTGGACTTAATGGCACTAGTTCATAAACAAGTGAGAACAATCACCTTCATATAGTGCTCAGAATATGACATTCATAAAACTTGTTCAATATCATCAGAGAACTCTAAATCTTAAATACTGAAAGCCACCTCTGATAAGTACACTGTACTATGCAAGATAATGATATAACTGGACTAAAAATACACACAACCTGTAATTAACTGCCTTTACAGCGCTTTCGCGCTTTGATTATTTAACCCTAAGGTTTCATTTCTCCTTTTAAAATTCTCAACAACTTTTTTAGTTTCCTCATCAGCAAGTTTAACAACCTTGTCACATACATTTTTGGTTATTCTTTGCATTGTTGTTCTTGCCATAGGAGGAATACACGAACTGGTCAAAAGTACTCCCGCGCTGTCATTACCTATGTTAGAGTTTATTACACCAGTCTGAAACCCATAGTTTATGCTGGCACGCTTGCGGCCAGGACGCCCACTTTCAATTTCTCTAAACAGTTTATATTTTTCTGATATAAACTTACACTTTGTACATTTTAGTTCCCAAATCCAACCGAGACCCCACTGAGTCTCTTGCACAAGTTCAAAATCGGGAACATTACAATGTGGACTTTGATTTATATGACAAATTATTAGATTATTCATCATTAGAATGTTTAAATCTCTTTCCACTGTTCTATTTTCTGTATTTTTATCCCCTAAATATTCACCCAAATAGTCATCAGACACTTTATATGGACGAAGGAGTTTCACCGTAGTAGCACTCTTTTCAGTCTGAGGTGCTACATATGACTTCTTATCATAACTTTCTTTAGAATACAATTTGAAATCCTTTTCAGTAAGGCGGGGTAACCAGTGGGATTCTGTGGGTGTTTTTGGCAATACATTTGTTGTTGAATGAGGAAATTCATATTTAGATGATGCAGATGATACTTGCATAGATGAATTTTTTAAAACCTGTGTAGATGGAGCTGTAGATGGAGCAACACCATTGCAATCTTGATTTGTTGCTAGGGAATCATAACGGGATAAAAATGCTTGGTTACCAACCTTAAACTTGTTTCGTTTCTTTTTGCCTTTCATGTTTCAAAATCAATACACTCTGTAAGATGTGTACAACTCTAAATTATGATGTCATAATGCAATGACGTCACAAAAACAATGACGTCACAATGTACTCTTCACCAAAGAAATAACCCATTTTTCCCACTTTCAACACACATACAAAAAAAACCTCTAAAATTCTTATTCCTTGATGGATTTTGAAAACAAGACTAGTTTTAGAAAGGTCTGTGACTAATCTTTACAGTAATGAACATATATTTGAGATATTTATTCAATAAAAAAAAATATAATAGAAAACAAGACTATCAGGGTGGAAAAATTTCTTAAATCTGATAGTTTTTAAGTGAAAAACACTATATTTACATGATTTAGCAACAAAAAATGAGGATTTGTAGAAAGTCTGTAAGGTAGAAGAGGCTTATGAATTGTGTTATACCAATAAAAGTTAAAACAAATGTTTAAAATGTAAATTTATAACATATGCTTATTGTGTTTTTTTCTTCTTTAAAAAGGATATTGAACAGTTATAAACATTGCTACCTAAAAGTATTAAAATGAGCTTATTTTATTTCAGATATGGCTAAAACTTCACAGAATTGTTCAGAAATGTGTACTAAAGGGATACAAACTGCAATATAAGTGGAATCTGACATTAGCTGATCTAATATGGGTCAATATCCCTAATGGACCTTGAGATGAGGAACACAGATTTATGACTCTCATTAAAAAATTAGTCCGCCATACAATTGTGGAAGCTGTGATTTTAAAAATTGACATAAATGAACTAGGACTGGTGTTTTATAGAGCTGATGTTATGTGAAAAAAAGCATAAAAAAATAAACCTGAACAAATAATTTCAAAGGACATATTTTTTAATGATTTTTATGGTCAGAATTTATGGATTATTTCCTGAGGAGAGTGACATTTTTCACTATCTTTCGGGGTTGGGCACTTGACGGGAAAACGAATCACACTTGCCACCCCGAAATCGCACCACACATGTGCAAGTGTCTCAGCTTCAAAATGAGCCATCATACATATCCAAGTGTAGGATATGGCCTGAGCAACAGAAGAAAACTTTAACATTACCGCCTATGGATATCTATTATGCATATTGCCCCATCTAAATATTTAGAGGTAAGGAGAAGTTCGTAGGAAAAAAAGGGTTTGAAACGACCTCTGAACGATCCAAGATTCAGTAATGAGGACTTCCTAAATTGCATCAGGCCGTAAATTTACACTAGTAAAAATCGAATAACTAATGTTTTGTTTATTTCTTCACATTTTTAGAATAATTTGTCAATAGTCCATGCTTACTACATATATAGAAATAGAAGCATAAAAGTTGACTATTTGTGGACGTCGCATGCGACATCGTGTTCCGTAAATTTTACTATATTATCTCGGGATTCTTCTGTTGATATGTATACAATGTGATTGTTTTGTGCATATTTATAGACATAGTTAGCTATGTTTAAAGACATGCAGGATGGCAAATTATAAATCAAAATATAAATTAGTAAGTCAACTCCCGTTTTTATTCAAATGTACATGTACATACTGCAGTATGAGAATAACAGGACTGACAAACAGGCAGTTTGTGTATGTATATACAGAGACATATATACACATGTATATATGCCTCTGGTATATATCAGTCAAATGAATATATTACAGAACTAATTAAAGTATATTTTTATAAAGATTTCTTATTTGAACGTATGCAAGATGTCGTATGCTCCAGACTAGTCTAGCTAACTGGAATTTTCTTTTTTCTTAATTTCTTAATTTGCCGAACACTGCATGGGCACAATATCGTCATTTGGCAAATATTCTAGTAAACAAAAGTTTGAAGCCCAATATATCATGAAATATAATACTGTTAAATTATCCAATGAAAAACATACATTTGCAAAGCAAATGCATATGATTAAAAGAATCTGACCAAGTTGGAAAGTGAAACAGTACCGTGTTATTGCACACAATTAGGGTCAAATTTATTTTGCGGAAAATGATGACAACCTTCATCACTTAATTTTGCAGATGAGAATTAAGTAATCAAATATTTGCAAAGGCATACAAAATTTTAAGCAGACATTGTTTAAGTTTAAAGTGTTAAGTACTAATATCTATCTTTGAACTTTGGGGTGAAAGGAAGATTTTTTGAAATAACAAAAATTGCAAAAACAAATTGCGTATTTACTTCAAGTCAATGATTTTGATGAGAAAATAACACTCTGTTAATAATTGACCAATTGGGCACTTATTAACCTTGGTACAGTGTATCCAATTTCACTACACAGCACTGTATATAGAAAATACATTAACTTGTATTGTTTCTTTTGTTTACTAGTATAGTTTCTAAAACCCTATACCATTTCTTAAAGTGGGTACATATATATTAGATATACTGTTCCCGGCTTTAGCAGACAAAGTTGAAACACGGAAATCTGACTTTCAACTTCGAAGTGAAAATTATCTGCATACATAGTATATTTAGGAAATAATCAAATTGCAAATGAAACCACGGTATACTTATAATAGTTCAAATGAAGTGGATGTATGCAAGCCACCTTCATTAATGAAAAAATTAATTTAATGAAAAAAAACCATACTGTATATTCGACTATACATGTATAAAAAGCTCAGACATGAATAATCAGACTGATGCTTTTCAGACGAGAATTAAAACTAACGACCATATCAAATTCAAATGTGTTAAAAGTTACGTACACAAACAAGATAAACAGTACTTTAAATATGTGTATCAAATTGTATTTGAAATTTTTACTCACCGAGTCAGTATAATGGTGCAACCACAAGTGTTATCATGGACACACCCAGGAAAAGCAGTTTCATTTTTAGCTCAACTGGCCCGAAGGGCCAAGTGAGCTTTTCTCATCACTTGTCGTCCGTCATCCGTCGGCGTCGGCTTCGACGTCTGTCGTCGTTAGCTTTTTACAAAAATCTTCTCCTCTGAAACCACTTGGCCAAATTTAACCAAACTTGGCCACAATCATCATTAGGGTATCTAGTTTAAAAAATGTGTCCGATGACCCTGCCAACCAACCAAGATGGCCGCCATGGCTAAAAATAGAACATAGGGGTAAAATGTAGATTTTGGCTTATATCTCTGAAACCAAAGCATTTAGAGCAAATCTGACATGGGGTAAAACTGATTATCAGGTCAAGATCTATCTGCTCTGAAATTTTCAGACAAATCTGACAACCTGTTGTTGGGTTGCTGCCCCTGAATTGGTAATTTTAAGGAAATTTTGCAGTTTTTATACGACTGCAAAAAAAATTTTGTGGTCGTATATTGGTATGACGTTGGCATCGTCGTCGTCGTCTGGCATCGTCCGGCGTCGTCCAAAGACACATTGGTTTTCGCACTCTAACTTTAGTTTAAGTGAATGGATCTCTTTGAAATTTTACCACAAGGTTCAATACCACAAAAGGACGGTTGGGATTGATTTTGGGGGTTATGGTACCAACAGTAAAGGAATTAGGGGCCAAAAAGGGGCCAAAAATAAGCATTTTTGTAACTTCCAGACATAACTTGTGTGTCAGTGTATGGATCTCTCTGACATTGTACCACAAGGTTCCATATCACAAAAGGAATGCTGGGATTGATTTTGGGGGTAATTGCCTCAAAATTTAAGGAATTAGGGGCCAAAAAAAGGGGCAAAAAACAAGCATTTTTCTAGTTTCATGACAATAACTTGTGTGTAAGTGTATGGATCTTTATGAAATTGTACTACAAGGTTCCATATCACAAAGGGAAAGCTGGGTTTGAGTTTGGGGGTAATTGCCGAAACGTTTAGGAATTGGGGGCCAAAAAGGGGCCAAAAATAAGCATTGTTCTAGTTTCCAAACAATAACTTGTGTTCAAGTGTATTGATCTCTCTGAAATTGTACTGCAAGGTTCCATATCACAAAGGGAATGTTTGGATTGATTTTGCGGGTAATTGCCTCAATATTTTAGGAATTAGGGGCCAAAAAGGAGCAAAAAACAAGCATTTTTCTAGTTTCAGGACAATAACTTGTGTGTAAGTGTATGGATCTTTCTGAAATTGTACTGCAAGGTTTTATATCACAAAGGAAAAGCTGGGTTTGAGTTTGGGGGTAATTGCCCAAAACGATTAGGAATTTGGGGCCAAAAAGGGGCAAAAAAAAAACATTTTTCTAGTTTCCAGACAATAACTTGTGTTCAAGTGTATGGATCTCTCTGAAATTGTACTGCAAGGTACCATACCACAAAGGGAAGGCTGGGATTGAGTTTGGGGGTGATGAATCATAAGGGGGTTCAAAAAATTTGGGGGGGGGGGGGTTCTTTTTTCCTTTTTTTTTTTATTTTTAAAATTTTCCATTTTAAGTTGGTTATTTCTGATTTATATTTAAAAGCAAATAATAATGATATGGTAGGAGATACACACCAAACAGGATGTGTAAATTATTATATAATAAGTATTGTGCAATAGCAAGAAATTTTCAATTGCACAGTATTGCACAATAGCAAGAAATCTTCAATTGCACAGTATTGCGCAATAGCAAGAAATCTTCAATTGCACAGTATTGCGCAATAGCAAGAAATATCCAATAGCACAATATTGCGCAATAACAAGAAATTGTCAATTGTACAGTATTGCGCAATAGCAAGAAATATTTAATTGCACAGTATTGTGCAAAAGAAGATACTTCGTATAAATTGCTTATTTCTTGACCAATTTCAATGGGGTTTTATTCTTGAATTCTTGGGGTTCTTTAATATGCTGAATCTAACCGTGTATTTAGTTTTTGGATTTTGGGCCCCGTTTTTAAATTGGTCCACATTGAGGTCCAAAGGGTCCAAAATTAAACTTAGTTTGATTTCATCAAAAATTGAATTATTGGGGTTCTTTGATATGCCGAATCTAACCATGTATTTAGATTCTTAATTTTTGGTTCCGTTTTCAAATTGGTCTACATTAAGGTCCAAAGGGTCCAAAATTAAACTTAGTTTGATTTTAACAAAAATTGAATTCTTAGGGTTCTTTGATATGCTGAATCTAAACATGTATTTAGATTTTTAATTATGGGCCCAGTTTTCAAGTTGGTCCAAATCGGGGTCCAAAATTAAACTTTGTTTGATTTCAACAAAAATTGAATATATGGGGTTCTTTGATATGCTGAATCTAACCATGTATTTAGATTTTTGATTTTTGGGCCCTGTTATCAACTTTGTCCACATTGAGGTCAAAAGGGTCCAAAATTAAACTTTGTTTGATTTCATCAAAAATTGAATTCTTGGGGTTCTTTGATATGCTGAATCTAACCATGTATTTAGATTTTGGATATTGGACCATAATAGGTGAATGTCCAATTTAAATTTTTAAGTTCTTAGACCACATTCATTCTGTGTCAGAAACCTATGCTGTGTCAAATATTTAATCACAATCCAAATGCAAAGCTGTATCAAGCTTGAATGTTGTGTCCATACTTGCCCCAACTGTTCAGGGTTCGACCTCTGCGGTCGTATCAAGCTGCGCCCTGCGGAGCATTTTATTGGTTATTATCTTGAATATTATTATAGATAGAGATAAACTGTAAACAGCAATAATGTTCAGCAAAGTAAGATCTAGAAATAAGTCGTCATGACCAAAATTGTCAGTCGACCCCTTTTGGAGTTATTGCCCTTTATAGTCAATTTTTAACAATTTTTCGTAAATTATTGTAATCTTCTACAAAAATCTTCTTCTCTGAAACTACTGAGACAAATTTAACCATACTTTGCCATAATCATTATTAGGGTATCTAGTTTAAAAAATTTGTCCGATGACCCTGCCTTCCAACCATCATGGCCGACTTGGTTAAAAATAGAACATGGGGGTAAAATGCAGTTTTTGGTTTATATCTCTGAAACTAAAGCATTTAGAACAAATCTGACAGGTGGCAAAAATGTTCATCAGATTTAGATTTATCTGCTCTGAAATTTTCAGACGAATCCGACAACCCGTTGTTGGGTTGCTGCCCCTGAGTTAGTAATTTTACAGAAATTTCAGTTTTTTGTTATTATCTTAGATATCATTATAATATCTAATATCTAATACTATTAATTATGATTTTAACCTTATTTTACATGATTTCCAAAGCATCAGAAAATACAGGTGAGCGACACAGGCTCTTGAGAGCCTCTAGTTTCAATATATTCTTCTCAATGAAAAAAAAAACATCCGATTTTTAACACGAATTTTAAATTTCAAATACTGCTGTTCAAAAACTACATATGATGTGTTAATAATTTAATTGCTTACAAATTGGACTGTTCCATACCACCCGTCTATTAAATGAAACACAGTCAGGACGCATGTTGTGCACCCAGTGTGATGTGTTTTGCGTACTGTGTGATGCGTTTGATGATAAGATTTAGAGTCAATTAACATATTAGTTCTGTTAATATGTAACAAAAAGGGCATGAATTTTTCCATCCTTAATAAACTAATTATTAAGTATATATGTACCGCTTCCTCATATCCTTGCCCTAATTTAGAGATTTAAAAGTACTATTATGTCAGTAATCTGACAGAGCTAACTATACATTTTCATTCTAAATTTATCAAATCACTTATCATCGAAGTAAAACTGTCCATAAGGCATAAACAAACTTAATAATTTCATTTATACACATTACATTGTAGTTTTCCGTTGAGTAAACGAATTAAGATCTGACTATATGACAATAGAAGACATATGAAATTTCTTTAATTGATATAAAGAAACTTGCAGATATAAGTCAAACATGCTCGTATAAGTCTCATGCACGGTGAACATATTAACATTAACAACGAATTCCGGATCTCTTGTCTATATATATTCAAAAATAATTCATATACTCACAAGTAATTAATTGATTGGCCAAAAGTAAATCATATTTATGAGTTTGTTACGATCATCTATTTCATATAAAATTAATATCACATGTCTATAAATTATAGATAAGGCCACACCAATTTAATTTCTTGTTCTACGAATTTTTCGAGTCCAAAAATTAGGGCGAGCGAGCGAGCGATTTGAAATAAGTAAAGGCGAGCGATTTAATTATTTTAAAAGAATACTTTTGCTATCAGACATTCAGAATTGTAATAAAAGTTTGTCAGCGGCTTGACCGCACGTATTTATGTATCCGGTATCTATTTATTTTAACCATATGTGCAATATGAGTATGTCAGCAATCCACAGTTGTAATCTTGCACGTGTTGTCATGTATAATGTAGTTCAGTTATATGATATTTGACTTGAATAGTGAACATGAATAAAATGTAGTCTCTTTACAAAGTCTGCATGGATTATTTAGGTTCCATATGGAACCACAGTTGTCCTCAAGTTACAACCCGACAAAAGGTGCCACGCAATCAAACAGTCTATAAAAAATCTTTTATATGAGCATGCAGTATTAATTTGACATATACAATACTTTTTTTGTCATGGCGGACTTTTATATCTAAATAAAATAAATAAATTACTACACGGTATGGGTTTTGCTCATTCGAGAAATTATGTCGTACAGTGATCGAAATGAGAAGACTTTGATTTTCTTAGTTATTCAAAAATCATGTTTATACAACATGAACATGATTTCAACAATTTGCGTTGACACTTTAGTATCTAATATTTCTCTGGTTCATCACACTGGCTACAGGGTGTCAACATGGCTTGAGGCTATTTTGTCTAGCATTAGGACAAAACGTAATCTAAAGTATTTGTAACATTTTGTAACAGGAATTTCTTTATCAATGAAGGTAAAATACTTATTTGGCGTATCGTGGTGTCTGAGTGAACGGATATAAACTACAAAAAAAAAAGAGTTAAAAAACCAAATTTCTGACTGAAATTAAAGGTAAAACAAGATCTCGATTTATCTTTCAAGTTTGTAATTCCTTTATCCTCAATTGTTAATATTTTCTGAAGTACTACAGTTATGTTATTAAAATTTCAGAGAGTTATACTGTTCATGAGCAAGCTAGGACCAGTCAAAATTGGACTAGTCCAAAACAGCATACAACGTAAAAAAAAATGTTTTTAATCTGGTGGCATTATAATGTATATGTGGCATTATAATGATGGACTATATTAAATGAACAGAAAGTCACATTTACATCGTGAAAAAAAAACGCCGGGGAAATGGAAGGGATCTTGTATCATTTCCCCCCTCATAATCATAATTAATCAATTAAAAAAAAATATATATTTAATTCAATTCAATGCCTCTTAAAGCATGAATGGTGCTAATTTTCTGCCGATATTTTTTTTTTTTTATCGTTTTCTACAAAAACATGAGCACTGCCATTAATCTGAATTGATGTGTGGCAAAACTTTCGTACTATTTCACAAAAAGCAGGTAAACAAATACATTTTATTTTGTACAAATGAAGTATCCTGTTACTCTATACACATCTGGCGCTATTCAATAAGTCACATTTGTTTTATTGAGCCAGCGGTAATATGGATATTTTGTTTTGCGTGACAGTTCATTTCAGGGTCCTCTTCGCGGACCGCGTTTAAAACTTTGTCGATTTCGTTGAAAATTATTGTGTACAGTGTTGTTTTTTCATAAAGATCCGACGACCTCGAAAGAATGCATTTTGGCTATTATCTAGACTTTCTCTCATTATATGTTTATATCTATTATTTTTAGCAAAAAAACTAGGGTACTAATTATGTTAAGGAAATACATCGTTGCTTCCAAGTCCAAGCACTATTTTTGCAATATTAATGTATGATTTGTTTTATTTACTGCTATTTAAAGATTTCGTCGGAATGAATTCTGTTTCAAAATAAATTCTTAACACCGAATTTTGTTGAAATCTACTGAAAGCAAATAAAACGTACAACCCTTATAAATATCAACAGCTGTTTGCATTAAACAACAAATAAATTAACCTAACCCGAAACCCCACAATTCTATTTTATCCTTTTGCTTTTCTGATCTCTGTACTGTTTCAATTAGAACATAGGTGTATAAAAAACTTTGTACATCCATGATTAGAACATGTACATCAAAGTCGCATATTGACATGTCGTAATTTATAAAATCTAAGAGTCAAGCTGAGTGATATCTCCGAGGCTTGGCCACTGGATTTGTTGTTTTGAATAATTGATTTATAAGGCTTTAGTCAGTTGCGTTATCTGATCAGTCACAAGAACTTAGAAAATTTACAATATGGTTTTGTGGAAAATTGAAGGAACCCAATTGGTGAAAAAAGAAAAGTCTGAAGATAGCATTATTATACGATGTTTGAAGGATTCTTCGAAACTTTGACATGTAGAGGTATGTAAACACACGTAGCTTTAGTATATATAGTCAAACAAATAGTCGTTAAATCAATGATTTAAATAGATGGGTAAATTATTTAATGACGATAGGAGTCAAGCTCCGAGGGGTCAATGATGCCGTTTTCCATATTAAACATTCACATAACAGAAAAAAAATTATGACATGTTTATAATGTGTTTTTGTCTTATTTTGACATGAGAACTTATTTAGCAATCTAATGATTTTGAAAAGAGAAGTAAAAGATAATAAAAAACGTTGTTTACTTGTCAACCGGCAATTAAATTATTGGAGTAAGCAAAATCCATAGCTTAGAATCTTAGACCTGGAACTTACAATAGATAAATGTATCAGTCCAAGCTTGGACATTCAGAATGTTTTACTTATATAAATATTAAAGTCATATTTTCATCTTTCCGTGAATTTCTCTTGATTACCATGACAACATTGCACTGATCGCTGATACTGTTTAATATCTAATTTATATGTCTTTATTAATCATAACATTTTTTCATGGACACTGTATATCTCATTTGTCTGTTATCGTCAAAATACTGCCTATATATGTATATATATATATATTTGGTGTACAAAAACCTTTGCACCTTTTGTTTGCAGTATATCATCTTTTCCGCAAGTTTATTGTTTTCTGTTTAGTATTAAATTTATAATTAAGATCCATTTATTACATCAGTGATCCGTTTATTTGGCAATCGCCTATGGCAGTCAGCAGGGTTTAAGAACATTTGTTGTTCGACCTGTTAGTAAATGCGTTTTGTTAAAATATACTTTTTCACTTTTTTGGTCTTTTGGAAAATGTTGTTTGTGCTGTATTTAGACCCCTCTAACAAGAAATTTGTTTTGCATGCACACATATAAAAATTGCGGTTTTTATCCAACGCAACCGTAGGTTTGAACGTTGTTTTCAATTTAGACTTGTATATATATATATATATATATATGTTTAGAAAACATCAAAAACACTGAACTTCAATTTCTAAGAACCAGGCATGAGGGTGTTAGGAAGTTTCTGTCTGTCGTATGTGCATCATCCTTGGTCTCATTTTATAGGACTGAGACATGGACTAACGTCAGGGATTTCGTTTCTACAAATTTCATTAAAACCTTTACTAAATTCTTCCATAGATATAAAGATTTGGTTTTGAAGTGTAGAAAACTTATTTCAAACGTGATAACACATCCTCATTTTTATGGAGATGTTGTTTACCGTGCCCAGAAATTTAGAAACAATCTTGGAGCCGGTAACAAGAAGCTCTCTTAGCACTTAATATCTTCTCCGAGAGTATCTTAATACTGTCTCAGTGAATTAGAGTGTAACAAGAAGCAATCTTATGTCAATCTTAGAATGATTGACAGCCCTTCAGGTAGATTCATGGTATACTGCCATCTTGGATTGTACAATCTCAGTACAAAATTGGTCTAGTTATTTGCCCAAATCTGCAAATTTGGAGACAGATTTGCAATTTATTGGTTAGATTGTTTATTTATATAAAGAAAACTTGGTGATTTATTGTATTATTCAAAATATTCAAACAAATATCAAATTTTGTGTTTTTAGAATCATTTTTGTCGAGCCTGCGACTTTTGTCGAGCCTGCGACTTTTGTCGCAGAAAGCTCGACATAGGGATAGTGATCTGGCAGCGGCGGCGGCGTTAGCTAACTTCTTAAAAGCTTTATATTTTAGAAGGTGGAAGACCTAGATGCTTCATACTTTGTATATGGATGCCTCATGTTACGAAGTTTCCGTCAGTCACATGTCCAATGTCCTTGACCTCATTTTCATGGTTCAGTGACTACTTGAAAAAAAAGTTAAGATATTTTGTAATGTTAAATTCTCTCTTATTATAAGTAATAGGATAACTATATTTGGTATGTGCGTACCTTGCAAGGTCCTCATGCCTGTCAGACAGTTTTCACTTGACCTCGACCTCATTTCATGGATCAGTGAACAAGGTTAAGTTTTGGTGGTCAAGTCCATATCTCAGATACTATAAGCAATAGGTCTAGTATATTCGGTGTATGGAAGGACTGTAAGGTGTACATGTCCAACTGGCAGGTGTCATCTGACCTTGACCTCATTTTCATGGTTCAGTGGTTATAGTTAGGTTTTTGTGTTTTGGTCTGTTTTTCTTATACTGTATGCAATAGGTCTACTATATTTGGTGTATGGAATGATTGTAAGGTGTACATGTCTAGCTGGCAGGTGTCGTCTGACCTTGACCTCATTTTCATGGTTCAGTGGTTATAGTTTAGTTTTTGTGTTTTGGTCCGTTTTTCTTATACTTTATGCAATAGGTCTTCTATATTTGGTGTATGGAATGATTGTAAGGTGTACATGTCCAACTGGCAGGTGTCATCTGACTTTGACCTCATTTTCATGGTTCAGTGGTTATAGTTTAGTTTTTGAGTTTTGGTCTTTCTTCTTATACTATATGCAATAAGTCAACTATATTTGGTGTATGGAAATATTCTATGATGTACATGTCAGTCTCGCAGGTTTTATTTGACCTTGACCTCATTTTCATGGTTCATTGCTCAGTGTTAAGTTTATGTGTTTCAGTCTGTTTTTCTTAAACTATAAGCAATAGGTCAGCTATATTTGTTGTATGGAAGGATTGTAAGCTGTTCATGTTTGACTGGCATGGTTCATCTGACCTTGACCTCATTTTCACGATTCATTGGTCAATGTTTAGTTTTCATGGTTAAGTCTGTTTCTTATAAACTATAAGCAATAGGTCAACCATATTTAGTGTATTGAATGATTGTAAGGTGTACATGTATTTCTCGTTTGGTTTATATGACCTTGACTTCATTTTCTTGGATCATGTTAAGTTTATGTAATAGTTGTAGTAAAGCTTTCATTTAGGACTATCAACATAACATCAATGGTTAGTAAAGAAGGCGAGACATTTCAGCATGTGCACTCTTGTTTTCAAATAAGCCATTTAAGGGGAGATAACTCTGTTAGTAACAAATATATACTGAACTGATAGAGAAATTTTTAATTTTTACTTGTAGCAAGAAAACAAGTTCAGTGACACCATTTTTTCTTTTTCTTTTTTTAAAACATATTATAAAACCTATCTTCTTACAATTTATTTCAAAATTCTATCTCACAGAATTTTTTTTATGCACACAAATGTGTTTTTTTCATGAACAATCTAACCAAATTTAGACAATTTTCAACAACTCATAGCTTGGAAAATAGCACAGTGACCCATACTTTTTATTAAATTTTTGAAAAAAGCATAGTAAAATCTTCCTTTTGGCAAAGTATAAGAAAATTCTATCTCAAAAAGTATATACTTATGATCTTTCCTTAAGACATAATTTTTTTTTTTCAATTTCTTACGAATTTAAGGGAATTCTTTGCATTCCCTTATCAAAAACTTATCAATTCGGGTAACTCGAAAACATCTTAATTTTTTTGTCCTTTAGGAAGAATTCTTTGCATCAACTTAACCATTTACGAGCGTAACACGATTCTTTCTTAACACGTTTAAATGTAAGTGTGGCTCTACCCATCCCTTCCCCCCACACTGTTTTTACAAAAACTGAAGAACATTTATTTCATAATTTGTTTACAGAAGTCCAATATCAAATATTTCATACAATTCAACAAGAAACAATTAATTCCCCAAAACATCGAGCAATTGAGCAATCTCGGAAGAAAGTTGAATGTTGAAAGTGGGTTTTAACTTTTCAATTTTTATTATAACAGGTGTAACAATTCATCTGTTTTGTAACCTAATACACGCTATGTAGAGGTCATCACATGCATATAATATTATCAACCTTTTTAAATCTTTGAATACGTTTATAACATTTTTCCACATTTAGACAATAGAGATAACCATATAAAATATTCTTGTAAAAATTTACAACCTTTAACTCATTGATCCTTCGTGATTCTGCACACTATACGCGCCTCACATTATTTTCCACAAACACCCAACTTCAGGAACATAATTATCATTTTTAATTCCGGATGTTTCCCCGATTTCGAAGTTCCAATGATTTAAACATATTAAACAAAACTAAAAATAATCTTGCCCTCCTTCTAAATGCAGTTTGTTTTTTTTATGTCATTCTGTTAAATATGGACTGATTTTTTTTGTAATGTGTTTATTGTCAAAAACTACATGTATAAATAATCATAGTAAGTATAAGTCCATAGTACATCAGCAAAATCGAGACAAGTACATATAGTAGATATTTTGAATCATTTGACAAACTTATAAGTAAATAATAATAATGGTATACAAAGAAAAACTAACCTGGGCAGCATGGATTTGGTAGATATTTTTATTACGTAAAAATTTACTTGTATCATCATTCTATTAGTTGAGCCAGGGGTTCCAGCAGGAGTGCGCTCTTTGCAATGGTTTATTTTTATGAAATATTATTTTTTCAATAAACAAATTTTCTTTAAGATAATTTTTAAGGCTACTATATTTACTTGTCCAACTTGCATTTTTGTTATAACCTCCTTGTGCATATATGATATTTAGTTAATAATATTATGAGGTTTCTTGTGTAGGTTTTTTCTGTTATTTTCTAATATCCCAAATAAGACTTTATTTGAATTAAGTGGTAGTTCAATTTGAACTTTTGAATATATCCATTTATTAAGTTATTCCCAAACATCAAATACTTTTCGACATGTTTATTAAACGGAAACAGGTGTCGTTATTCGTGTGGCTTTTCACAAATAACCACGGGAGTTTCCGTGTTTATTTACATTGGTAGGTAGATAAGACCAGCTTCAGTTAACAGAACAGGTGAAGGCTGCATCGCAGATACCCCACAAAGGAGTTAGCACGTACTTGAAAAACTTAGTCTGAACCTTTAATTTTCCTAAAGAAATCAGTGGGATGCGAATGTGCCAATTTTTTGTTGGATTCCTGTCAATATAATACTTCCATGCTCTGATTTAGTAATATGACAAATACAAAAACCTGTCATGCCTAAGTAAAAGGATTTTTTTCTTACTTATTCTGCTAAATCAATGATCCTGATTAAGTAAAGAACATGGGAATATCTAAGAGAAAAAGAATTTAACGGCTCAGTGCAAAAGACCACGAAAACCGAGTTTTAAACAAGAGGAAATATCCTAACCCTCCAGTACCCCGCCCCCACTCACACATGTCTTTGTGTATGTCTAAAGAGCTGCTGGATCTTTACTTTTTCCAGTTTATACTCTTTAAATAAAGTCTCTCAAAAATACATATATCTCTTATCAAGAAATTGTATATTTATAAATGCCTTTCTAAATGATCAAGGATTCCTCTTCATATTAATATTTAATATTATTCAGTATTTATCGCTAAAACCCTGGTTTTCTTAGTATTTCCATCTGGACTTGGGAATACTTGTTTTTGCCAACCCTGTTCAATATATTGTTGTATAAGATAGTCTGTCAATTTGGACACACATATATTTGTGAAGAACATTAATTTCTATCAGCGAGATCTCTCCGCCACAGTTTATCTCTTGATGATGACTGATAAGTGTGTAAACTTCGTTGACAAATATTGCATGAATATGAAAGAATGAGAACATGTTAATGATATTTAAATATAAGCCATGCTTTAACAAACTTATTAAAAGCTTAATATTTCAGAAGTTAGAAGACCTGGATCCTTCATACTTTGTTTATAGATGCCTTAAGTTATAAAGTTTCCATCTGTCAGTCTCAGATATCCATTGTCCTTGACCTCGTTTTCATGGTTCATTGACTACTTGATTTTTCGTGGTCAAGTCTATTTCTCAGATACTATGAGCAAAAGGTCTACAATATTTGGTGTATGCAATGATTGTAAGGTGTTCATGTCCAACTGGCAGGTGTTATCTGACCTTGACCTCATTTCATGATTATGTGGTTAAAGTTAAGTTTTTTTTGCTTGTTTTTCTGGTACTGTATGCATAGGTCAACTTTATATGATGTATGAAAATATTTTACGATTTGAATGTCAGTCTGGTATGTTTTATTTGACCTTGATCTCATTTTTACGGTCCATTTCTCAATTTGAAGATTTTGAGGAATTTTAGTTTTTTTGGTCTGTTTTTCTTATTCTGTAAGCAAAGCTGCAAACGGTCAACTATAATATTTGGTATATGTAATGATTGTAAGGTTTATATGTCTGTCTGGCAAGTTAATTTATGACCTTGACCTCATTTTCATGGTTCATTGACCAATCTTAAGTTTTCCTGGTTAAGTTTGTTTCTTAGATACTTTATGCAATAGGTCAACTATGTTTAAAGCATGTAATGACATGTCTGTCTGGCAGGGTTCATCTGATGTTGGCCTCATTTTCAAGGTTCATTGATGATTATTAAGTTTTCCGGGTTAAGGTTGTTCTTTAGATATGCAATAGGTCAACTATATTTAAAGTATATTTGGTGTATGGAATGATTGTAAGGTGTACATGTATTTCCAGTTTTGATTATTTGACATTGGCCTCGTTTTCTTGGATCATGTTAAGTTTATGTGATAGTTGTAGTAAAACTTTATATTAAGGACTATATCAACATGATATCAACGGTTAGTAAAGACCGTGAGACATTTCAGTGTGGGCACTCTTTTTTAATGGATGAATGTTTTAAGTTGTTCGTCTATTGTATCCTTCATCTGTCAACACTGAGTCTTGTGGATCTTAGTTTGGTTGCGGCATGTGTGTTCGACTCCAAATCTTTATTGACTAGGATTGCTAGTTTTACTGCTAAAATGTTGTGGTTCTCTCGGCACCCCATTTTCCCCCTCCAATGTAAAAAGGCTGCCTAGAATTTGCCAATAGTGATAAAAGTGGTGCTTAATACCACCTATTAATCAATCAACAATTCTTGATATATATGTAATGAACAAAATGCAAAGACCTGTT